TAGATGGGGTTAAGCAGAACCACGGTGAAAAGGGTGCTAAATGAAGACTTAGGGCTTCGGGCATATCGAAGAAAAACAGGACATCGTTTGAATGCTCGTCTAATGGTCCTGAGACTGAAGAGAAGCCGCGCTTTGTTGAAGCGGTACGCGGGAAAAAATATCGGGAAATTATTTTTTCGGATGAAAAAATTTTTACCGTAGAAGAGAGCTACAACAAACAAAATGATAAGGTGTCCGCACACAGTAGTGAAGAAGCGAGCAACCGTATTCCGCGTGTCCAACGAGGTCATTTTCCATCCTCGCTCATGGTATGGTTGGGAGTTTCTTATTGGGCCTTAACAGAGGTACATTTTTGTGAGAAAGGTGTAAAAACGAATGCAGTTGTGTATCAAAATACAGTCCTGACGAACCTTGTGGAACCTGTTTCTCATACCATGTTCAATAACAGGCACTGGGTATTCCAACAAGATTCGGCGCCAGCTCATAGAGCGAAGAGCACACAAGACTAGCTGGCGGCGCGTGAAATCGACTTCATCCGGCACGAAGACTGGCCCTCCTCCAGTCCAGATTTGAATCCGTTAGATTACAAGATATGGCAACACTTGGAGGAAAAGGCGTGCTCAAAGCCTCATCCCAATTTGGAGTCACTCAAGACATCCTTGATTAAGGCAGCCGCCGATATTGACATGGACCTCGTTCGTGCTGCGATAGACGACTGGCCGCGCAGATTGAAGGCCTGTATTCAAAATCACGGAGGTCATTTTGAATAAACTTTAGTGTCATAAGAATCTATGTTTTGTTAAATTCATTTTGGTATATGAATGGTTACATAATGAATAAACTTGTTTCAATTATTTTACATTAAACATGTGACAGAATTTATGACCTGACTAGGTAAAGTTATAGTTAAATATCATTACCATGCCACAGCGTTATACACTGCTGGCCTTGAGAGACCGTTTCAGCGTAACCTTAACAAGTAGGTGAGCTCTGGATAATACGCAATTCAAATATTCGCAATTCAAATATTAACATCTCTGTATGAATGGCTCGACGAGCGAATTAACCCACAGACACAGCCCACTGAGTTTCTCGCCGGATCTTCTCAGTGGGTCGCGCTTCCGATCCGGTGGTAGATTCTGCGAAGCACTGCTCTTGCTAGGGCGGTGTTAGCAATTCTCCGGTTTGAGCCCCGTGAGCTCACCTACACAAGCTAGGGTACGCTGAAATAGCCTCTCAAGGCTATCAGNAATAAAAATAAGTAAAAAATGAAAATAGCTGTTTTCTCTCGATTATTTTTAAATACATACATAAATTTAAAAAATGTGTGACGTCACATCAGGAGGGGGGGTTATAAAAATGTGACAACCTGTGACAAGGAGGGGGGGAGGGGTTCAAAAGTCCTAAAATTCGTGTGACGTACTTTATGGATGGCCCCTAAGCACGAATTAGAAAGTTGTGAGTTAGGCCACTTTTGCGCTGATCGTCTCAATTAGGAGGCAACTTAAACTCTTTTTAATACGCTTTTATTAGCTTCAGACGTATGTATGTTTGTAGCGGAATCTTTGAACATGATTTTGACCCCCTTCAAAACGTCGGGTTAACTCGAAATTTGGCATACTTATTAAGGATTGATGACAATTTAATATATAAAAAAAATATTGAAAAAAATTAAATTCAAATAATAAGAAAAAAAGAAAAGAAAAAAAAGCGTGGGACCATGCAGTATCAGTAGTTATAAAAAATCATTTTTTCTTACACTATTTTTAATTCAAATTTATTAAAATCATATTTTCTATTTTTTTGTTGGATTTTCTATAAAAGCGTATTTTTTTTTAGTTTTTTAAACTATTATTTATTGAAGTCTGGCTTTCGGACTGTCATTAGCACCACACTATACCCACGAACAAGGAAAACACTTAATGTTCACTTCTCCGTAATGATTCTATTCGACTACATTCAAGCGAATAGAATCATTCGAGCTATAACGGCATTGTTAATGCACTTTCAATGTTCAATACTTTAGATTTGAAAGCAATGTACGACTATTAAAATCTATATATTATTAATACGTGAAGCAAAAACTTTGTATCCCTTTTACGAAAATTGCGCGGACGGAGGAGTATGAAATTTTCCACACTTATAGAGAATATAGAGAAGAAGTGCACAATGCTAATATATTTTTAAAATAATGCATAAAAGATACATTAAATCAATAAAGAAAACATTACACACACTACATACCATGTATTTGACGCACACACGCATGCATACTATTTATTGTTATACTTTTGTTCTTGACGTCAGTGGTCAAATTGAGAATGGATTAAATATTTTTTGTCTTTATTAGTATTTTTTTATAGTGTAGTCTTGGCGAAATTTGTGATTATAGAAGTATAAAATACAATCATAATAGTGTACAAACTTACAATTCCAATTAATTATAGTCGAATTTCGACTACTGCGGGACCTCTAGTACATACAATAAGGAGTTCATTAATTAAGTTAGAATTCCGAGGACGGGGGTGGAGTGGAGGCTAAATCTCCACATGCCCTTATCTTGCGGAGGGGAGAAGTGAAACCCATTGGTACTGAGACTAGAACTCATATCTTTTTTTTTGCTTAGATGGGTGGACGAGCTCACAGCCCATCTGGTGTTAAGTGGTTACTGGAGCCCATAGACGTCTACGACGTAAATGCGCCACCCACCTTGAGATATAAGTTTTATAGGTCTCAAGTATAGTTATAACGGCTGCCCCACCCTTCAAACTGATACGCATTACTACTTCACGGTGGTGGTACCTTTTAATACTTAAGTGGATGGACCTAGTGTTAAGTGGTTACTGGAGCCCATAGACATCTATAACGTAAATGCGCCACCCACCTTGAGATATGAGTTCTAATGTCTCAGTATAGTTACAACGGCTGCCGCACCTTTCAAACCGAATCGGATTGCTGCTTCACGGCAGAAATATGCGGGGTGGTGGTACATACCCGCGCGGACTCACAAGAGGTCCTACTACCAGTAATTACGCAAATAAAAATTTGCGGGTTTGATTTTTATTACACGATGTTATTCCTTCACCGTGGAAGTCAATCGTGAACATTTGTTAAGTACGTTTTTCATTAGAAAAATTGGTTCCCGCCAGCGGGATTCGAACACCGGTGCGTCGCTCAACACGAATGCACCGCACGTCTTATCCTTTAGGCCACGACTACAATCATACATTTTGCAAGTCGAAATTTAATATTAGAACTCTAGTCCTATCTAGGAGCGGATACCTGGACCCTTAAGGCGGCTGATCGCAAACGCGTGGACGCTTTTGGGATGTGGTGCTGGAGAAGGATGCTCCCTATACTTTGGACAGCGAAGAGAACTAGTCTGTCTATCTTAGACCGACTGCAGATCAAGACAAGACTGTCCACACTCTGCCTTCGCCGGGCACTTGACTTGCTCGGAAAACACCCGATAGCTTAGAGAGACTATTCGTGACAGGGACAGTTTGTTTGTCATTTTAGACTTACTTGAGCCCCGCACAATGCAGGCTTGGACATTATTTTAACTGACTTCAAAAAAGGAGGAGGTTCTCAATTTTTTAAATTTTTTTATTGCTTAATTGGGTGGGTGGACGAGCTCACAGCCCACCTGGTTTTAAGTGGTTACTGGAGCCCATATACATCTACACCTTAATGCGCCACCCACCTTGAGATATAAGTTCTAAGGTCTCAAGTATGCCCCACAGTACAACGGCTGCCCCACCCTTCAAACCGAAACGCATTATGCTTCACGGCAGAAATAGGCGGGGTGGCGGTACCTACCTGCGCGGACTCATAAGTGGTCCTACTACCAGTATTACGCAAATCATCTCTCAGTCAATCACTCTGCGTCGTTACTAAGAGCCGCACTCTTTCTTTTGTATCTTCAAAGTCAATAAAATCTTTTTTAAAATGAGTTTTTCAAGGTCCCGTATAACAGTGTTTGCACTACGCTTTGATTCTTTGACCCAACAAAAAACATCATTCGACTTAATAATTACACTCTTCTTCCATAATTACACATAATTATACTCGTATACATAATATACAAACGTATTAAAGTCAACTTAAACAATTGAATGTCTGTAAAGTCTGTTTACGGACGATATTTGGTACCTCAAGCACCGGTCACCGTCCTCGTCGAACCTGTCGCTTGCGACGAAGGGCTTGACGAACAAATCAACCCACAGACTCACAGCCCACTGAGTTTCTCGCCGGATCTTCTCAGTGGGTCGCGTTTCCGATCCGGTGGTAGATTCTGCGAAGCACTGATCTTGCTAGGCCCAGTGTTAGCAACACTCCGGCTTGAGCCCCGTGAGCTCACCTACACGTCAAGGAGAAGCTGATCTAGAATCTCAAGGGTATTAGCATAAGCAGGAAAAAAAACGGACGATAGTGTTATGTGATAACGTCAGTAGCGGAACTATTCGAACTGCTAGCTCTGACGTCACGCGAGAAGAGAGATGAATATGTCACAAGCCAACGCTTGGGCCGATCATGCCTCTCTATCGCTTGTTCCGCGCTCTCGCTCGCACGCTCAGGCTCGGGCGGAACGTGACACTTTTTCGTGCGTGCAGCCGGCGTTCAGCTATACTAATATATAAATCTGCAGTGGTTTTTACGGATGTTCCGTTACAACTACTGAACCATGCATCCGATTGAATTGAAACTTGGTATCCGTGTAGAAAATACATGTACTTAATGGATAGGCTAATTATTTATATGACTGTTGGATTCCCTACACCAGTTACGGGGGCGTTAATGATGAGAATCTTTGTGGGGGTGAGAAATAATAATGTTTATTTAAAATGCCCAGCGAAGCGGACGGGTACCGCTAGTCGAATTAATAAATAAGGCTTTATCAAGTCAAAAAATAAAAATTACAATGTTATAATTGTCTTATACAAAAACAAACTATCAATTTAAAGTTTTTTTATTAGAAGTAAAAGAGATGAACTTCATGACTAGTGATCGGAAATATTAAATCGTTCTAAACTTGATTGATTTATGATCGAATTATCTTCGTTTGGATGACGGCTATACGTGCTCTGATCCAACTCGATTTGGACTGGTTCGATTATGACTCTGATGTTGTCTCTCATTTTTTCTTTTCCTAAAAAAAAAACGTAATCTCATTAATTTTCACTGAAACAACTGTCTTTTCAATATCATTACCATGCTACAGCGTTATACACTGCTGGCCAAATTTTTTTTTCTCTTACCTATGCCTGTGTTGAGAGGCTATGCCAGCGTAACCTAATGAGTAGGTGAGCTCACGGGGCTCAAACCTGACGACGTTGCTAACACGAACCCTAGCAAGAGCCGTGTTTCGCAGAATCTACCACCGGATCGGAAACGCTACCCACTGAGTAGATCCGGCGAGAAACTCAGTGGGCTGTGTCTGTGGATTAATTTACTCGCCGAGCCCTTCGTCGCAAGCGACGGGCTCGACGAGAACGATGACCGGAAATTTAAGACTGCACTTCAACAATCTATCTATCAATTGTATTAAACTCCCTTATGACAAGTTAAAAAGATGCACATCTGCACATTCTCTTGTTATATCGAATATTTAAAGAAGTCATTCTTTTGTTTACTTTCAAGTTATTGAACAATAAACATCTATTATTTTCAATTGTACATATTACATACAGTTTAATCAAATATGAATTTGATGGATCGCTCATTTCGACAGGTCATTGTTTAATGTATCGAAATTAGTTTCGTTACTAGCACCTTCCAATTTTTGTATCATTAACCGCCGCTTGCGACAACTAATTGTCATTTTCTGGGCCGAGAGGATCTCCAACGAACACCTTTGGGAGGAGTGTCGGGAGATGCCAATTGACTGGCAGATCATGCGTCCCAAATGAACAAAGTTAGGCTGTAAGGAAAGACCCCGCACACATCCCTTGGCAAGTTCTGGAGTCGACCCCCCAGGCCAAGCGGACTGTGACAGCGGACACGGCGTGGCGCGTGGCACGATCGATTCGCTCAAATTAACAGCGCGAACCCTGATCCAACACTTGATATTATAAAATAGCTACGTTATATATATGGCTGTGAGCGTTATAGCCCGAGAGCCCGTGGGATCTACCTGTATGTATTTGACCAGACCTCAATTTTCGTACATTGAGACCCCTATACCTACCATGCATGAGGTGGGGACTCACTAAGCTCAAAGTGGTCGACGCGCCGAGCGCTCAGGTAGGACAGGTACCGATTTTGACGGATTTTAAATCCATTTGACCACGTCAGCCGTTTTGAAATTTTGAAAATATATGATTATTATTATCGGAAAATAAGAATGGCAGACCATTATCGCGCATTTTACTTTGTGGCAGACCACTTTGAAAATGCTAAATTGCATTGAAAATGCAAAATTTTGAAAGTAATTGACTAGATCTGCCATTGATTTAATAATATGTTGTTTATTATAGTCTTAAAAACTTATATTGATCACGGCAGACCTCTACATTGCGTACATACATCAACATATAATAAAATCTTAGCTACTACCCGGCCAGATGTATATTATGTTTTCCGTTCACTGTTTTAGAGGAATATAATTTACTTGCGATTTACTTTAGCAATGTATTTACCGAAATTAATATTTTTTTATATTCTATATACTAAACTTCATTAGTTAGACAATAAAGAAGTGAATTTTTTATGGAATAATTATAAATAATACGGTATAATGCTGATCAAAAAATAATTCAATTCCTCATTTTTATCATTCAACATTTAACTTGCCAGCTATACAATGCCAAAAAATCTAGTGATGTAGATGATGGAAGGTTCCAGCTATTCGTTAGCAACTATAAATATTCAGACATCAATGAAAATTATAGAAAAAAAAATCAAAAATTTGAGGCAAGCTCAATACCACCGCATAAGAGTGAGCTTTATCAACAACTTTTGAGGGCCCACTATATTTCTTCTATTTGGAGAAATGCTTACAAAAAGCAACTCACAACTTTAGACCCATTGGAGTATGGTTGGATTGAGCAGGACAACATATATGCCTTCAAAGGGTTCGAAGGTGACCAACTTCCATATTTTGTGAGTGACTTAATCACCAATGTTCCTGGTAAGTTGATAACAATTCTTTCTCGAACATGTTCAGATGAATTTACGTTCATTTTACAATTTATGTTTTATTTTTGCAGTATTCGATTCAATGGTTGATGAAGACGAGTCGCCTAACGATAAAGATGACTCCGATGATGATGATGATGAATGAAGATTGATATATATATATAATATGTAATGCATGCATGATATATTTTTTTAACTGATTTAACACTTTTAAATTTTGTCTTGACGAAATAAAAATGAGGAATTGAATTCTTTTTTGATCAGCATTGTACCGTATTATTTATAATTATTCCATAAAAAATTCACTTCTTAATTGTCTAACTAATGAAGTTTAGTATATATAATATAAAAAAATATTAATTTCGGTAAATACATTGCTAAAGTAAATCGCAAGTAAATTATATTCCTCTAAAACAGTGAACGGAAAACATAATATACATCTGGCCGGGTAGTAGCTAAGATTTTATTATATGTTGATGTATGTACGCAATGTAGAGGTCTGCCGTGATCAATATAAGTTTTTAAGACTATAATAAACAACATATTATTAAATCAATGGCAGATCTAGTCAATTACTTTCAAAATTTTGCATTTTCAATGCAATTTAGCATTTTCAAAGTGGTCTGCCACAAAGTAAAATGCGCGATAATGGTCTGCCATTCTTATTTTCCGATAATAATAATCATATATTTTCAAAATTTCAAAACGGCAGACGTGGTCAAATGGATTTAAAATCCGTCAAAATCGGTACCTGTCCTACCTGAGCGCTCGGCGCGTCGACCACTTTGAGCTTAGTGAGTCCCCACCTCATGCATGATAGGTATAGGGGTCTCAATGTACGAAAATTCAGGTCTGGTCAAATACATACAGGTAGATCCCACGGGCTCTCGGGCTATTACGTAAAGTTACCGCAACGGCAAAAATGGTACTGATGCATAAAAAACATAATTGCAAGCCGCCGTGTGCTCAGCCCCCAGAGCCTCCACGGCGCCGTGTGTTCGGCTCCCCGATGCTCCACGGCGCTGCGTGTTCGGCGTCCCGATGTTCCACGACGCCGCGACGCCGTATGTTCGGTCCCCTGATCCTCCACGGCGCCGTGTGTTCGGCCCCCCGATCCTCCACGGCGCCGGGTACTCCGCCATATATATCTTCACGGCGACGTGTAGTTAGCATTAAGCATGTTAAATATTTGAATCATCGAAATCACTTACTCTGAAATACGCCATCGTACTTATATAGAACTCTTCAGCTTACCCGGTAAGCAGTTCGAAGAGCAGGGGCATAGCGTTGAGACGTCTGGGGTCACGATCCTGATGTTCGCTTCGGAGTGTCTCAAAACTATGTTTTTCTCGTCACACCCGCATTTACCACATTCGCTTGAACGTTTAACAGTCTCTTTGGTAACTTTGAATCCTTCAAACAGAATGTTCTAGACGTGAAACGTCAGTGATATAGGTTTGTTGTGTAAAAATGGATCATCCAAGAGTTATTGCTGGAATGACCTACTTCACCAAGAACGCGTTTCTTGCCATGCTCCATCCGTGTTTGGAATGAAGTTAACTGTGTTACGTATGGGCTATGACATGTCCTTCTTCATACGAGGGTTGCGGAGAGACCCTGCTATTTTTGTGGTCTACGAGCGACGCTTATTACTTACGATCGCGTGGACCAAATGCCCGGCTGCTTACAAATGCACCAAAAAAATCCCTCAAGTATAATGTGCTTTCTAATTTGGTACACGTTGGTTCTGATGCTAAATGAATGTCGGTGTGCATCTACATCACTTCATTCACTTTTTTTATTCTTAGATGGATGGACGAGCTCACAACCCACATGGTGTTAAGTGGTTACTGGAGCCCATAGACATCTACAACGTAAATGCGCCGCCCACCTTGAGATATAAGTTCTAAGATTTCAGTATAGTTACAACGGTTACCCCACCCTTCAAACCGAAACGCATTACTGCTTCACGGCAGAAATAGGCAGGGCGGTGGTACGTACCCGTGCGGACTCACAAGAGGTCCTACCACCAGTAATGTAATTATAATCATGAAGGATGCCTATTTTGCGGGAGAAATGGACGAGTAGGTGCACGAGTACACATTGAACTTATTAGAGTATAAGTACTAAGCTTAAGAGCTTTGTCGAGTATGCGTGTAGATTACCTTTTCCACGGGCGCTGGAAGAAGACAAAGATGATTCAATATTCTTTCCTGTATTTCCTTTGGCTTTATCGCGAGAACCGAAACCGAATGCCTTCTTCAAGCTGCTCTTTAAACTAGCTCTCTCATCATCTCTTGGCCCCAATACGGAGCATAAACATAGGTCAGTAGGTCCTGAACCTGAGAGAAAGGATGTGTCTGTAGTAGTGTAGTATAGTGTAGTGTAGTAGAGGCTAGATGTAGGTCGGATCTGTGTTTGTTGTGTACGAGAAGAGCTCGGGATCAGTACAGAGCTGCAGAGGACTGTGTCTATTTGTGTACGAGAAGAGCTCGGGATCAGTACAGAGCTGCAGAGGACTGTGTCTGTTTGTGTACGAGAAGAGCTCGGAATCAGTACAGAGCTGCAGAGGACTGTGTCTGTAGTAGTGTAGTATAGGATTAGAGGCTAGATGTAGGTCGGATCTGTGTCTGTTTGTGTACGAGAAGAGCTCGGGATCAGTACAGAGCTGCAGAGGACTGTGTCTGTAGTAGTGTAGTATAGGACTAGAGGCTAGATGTAGGTCGGATCTGTGTCTGTTTGTGTACGAGAAGAGCTCGGGATCAGAACCGAGCTGCAGAGGACTGTGTCATCACTTACCTTCCGTCAATTGCTGTAGCGATTCCTCGTCGAGTTTCTTCATCTCCTTGTAATCCATGATGCATGTCTTTATTAACTCATTTTATAACTGCCGGAGGTTAAGCTCTTGACATTTACGAGAGACATTTCCGAACTCTAAGAGATTCCTTCTTCATTAACGTTTGTTTTTGCACTGACGCCTTCGGGTGAAGACTATTCTTATATAAGGAGGAATGTTCCTTCCAGGGAAGGTTGGTACTCTCTTTCTTCAGTGTTGACTCCGCTCATCGACGCGCGGCAGATGCTTAAGAATATCGGGTGGTTCTCTTCACTAAACTGAAAAACCAACCATTGAGATTTGATGTTTTGATTACAAATTAAAGAAATGCAATTCTACCTGGCAAGAATTTTTACACACTTACGGCAAGCTTAGTGGCTGCATTCACGTTGTGATGTCCACGGGCTTCAAGAAGCACTTAACTGGTACGCCGTGACTTTGGTCACTTATCAGACAGATCGAGTTGGGTATAGGCCAGCCCCAATTGACACTGAGCTAGGTCTTCGGGTCTCCTCATCCATGAAGGCTGAACTTCCTACTGGTGGTAGGACCTCCTGTGAGTCCGCACGCGTAGGTACCACCACCCTGCTTTTTTCTGCCGTGAAGCAGTAATGCGTTCCGGTTTGAAGGGCGGGGCAGCCGTTGTAACTATACTTGAGACCTTAGAACTTATATCTCAAGGCGCATTTACGTTGTAGATGTCTATGGGCTGCAATAGCCACTTAACACCAGGTGGGCTGTGAGCTCTTCCACCCGTCTACGCAATAAATAAAAGAAAAGCTTGCCGCGAGGGGACGTGCGAAATATGTGGGATCCGGTTTCCGTTAAAGGCCCACCAAACTAAATCAACTCCCACTCTATCTCACACCCTTCTAGTCCGATCCTCGCTCTAGACAGAATTAGTCTCCACTCAAGAACCCGTATAGTCCACGTCCAACTGCCAATTCAGCTTGCAGACCCTCGTGAGAGAGTATTGGATCATCACGAACCCGTGTAGGTAGGTAGCTTTCATATATATTTTTTTTATTTTTTTTTTATACTTTATTTCAATTTTTTTTAAACCATAACTTTTTGTTAGTAAGTATTGCTTATAATCTATGTTAGTAACCTAAAAAAAAAAGAAAAAAAAACCAACACATACATTTTATATCATTACATTTTTTCTCTTTTTTTCCCTCCATGTGCCTGCTGCAAAGGCATTATAATATAACATTATATAACATAATATAACATTCTAACACCCCACTAATGATGCGTAAAAACACGCGTATGCATTACACATTGCAAATTTTACCTTAAAATTTAATTTCGTTGATAAATCAATGATTTCATTGTAAGATACTTACGAACACAAATTTTATTTTATTGATTATGTCATATTTTTAGGTTAACTAAATGTGACGTTTGTTCAGAGATATCTTTTTTTTAATAATGATATGGAAAGTATTTTGATATTCTATGAAATAAATTAATGTCAAAGTATATGCATTTATTTTCTCGCAATTCACCGTTTGAAATAAATCAACCAAAATTGTATTCTTTACTAATCTTATATAGATTACTGATCTTTTCTAACTATTATTTATTATTATTATTAAATGTAGGCCGTTAACAATCTTAGCCCAATGAGTTTCTCGCCGGATCTTCTCAGTGGGTCGCGTTTCCGATCCGGAGGTAGATTGTGCGAAGCACTGCTCTTGCTAGCGCTCAGAAATCCTTCTATCACCATGCAGACCGCGTTCTCAACTGCGTTTTATTTTCGTACCTAATAGCTGGTGGCTTAAAGGGGCTATTCCAGCTACGCTCAACCTAGGAGAATACTTGCTAACACTAGCCCTAGAGCAGTGCATCACAGAATCTACCACCAGATCAGAATCACGACCCACCGAAATTCAGCGGCCAGTTCTGGTCTACGTATTTATCAAAAGTAAACATTGTTAATATTAATTTTATTTTCTCGCGAAGAAATCTTATTAGCTTGTGTCACGAACAGAATCCGTCCGGAGTAGCAAACAAGAAGTCGATCGAAAATAAACCGCAATCTTACATTAAGGCTGGCTGCAACAATTATTAAATAATATAATTGACAGATCCAATAACAGAACAATCACGAACAATAGATTGAATAAAAACTACTTTCAAAGTTTAATCTAATGTTTATTTCTTTTTTTATTAGGCACACAATACACATCACAATCTAAAAAGATACATAAAATATAACAACAAGTAATAAGTAACAAAATCTGGCTTGCAACATAAGCCATGTGCGCACGACTAAGCAAAACAAATGTGCTGAGCTTCGATCAACAATTGTTGATCGAAGGTGCTGAGTTTTTTTTTATTTCTTGCTGAGATTCGTGGACGATCTCACAGCCCACCTGGTGTTAAGACATCTACAACGTAAATGCGCCACCCACCCTGAGATACAATTTCTAAGCTCTCAAGTATAGTTACAACGGCCGCCCCACCCTTCACACCGAAACGCATTACTGCTTCAAGGCAGAAATCGGCAGGGCGGTGGTACCTACCCGCGCGGACTCACAAGAGGTCCTACCACCACTTATTTCCAGAGCCGTTTGGTACGGCTTAGAACATTGTTACTTCGAAATTCCCTACAAACAACCGGAAGTTTGCCGCTAATTCGTCGAATTTATCTTAGAACAACGCCGCTAGTCCACAGAAGATTGTTTTCAAACTAAATTCGATCCGGAAACCCGACAAAGTGGCATCAAGAACAAAATCGAACACCACCAGATCGTATTGGATGTTTATTTCGAAGATCATCGCGTTATATTAAGATCGCTGAAGCCTTACAAGTATTTAAAAGTTCCTGGCACAAGTTAAGAGCACTGGCGCCGACATAACGTTTTCTCAGTCTTTAATATCTTGTTGAATATAATATTTCAATATTATTTTCGTTAGGCACATGGGAGATAGACGCTTACTTATTGTAATTGCTTTATGGCATACAATATCGAGACAGATTTTGTGGAATAAGTGGCGGGGGTAGCTATTATACAACATTTACAGGATAAGCTCGCATATATTCAAGTTCTGAACAACAACATTCAGACCAAATCATTTCGAATCCTCCCGATCCACTAACGGTGTTTTTAGGTACCTCAAGCACTGGACATCGTTCTCGTCAAACCCGTCGCTTGCGACGAAGGGCTCGGCGAGTAAATTAACCCACAGTTACTGACTATCGAATTCCGGTAGTTAAGAGTTCTATGTAACCAACTAAACAGTTTAATATTCTTAATTAATTCGATTCTGTTGTTTTAACTGTATCAACGCGACCGGCCCTAAACTTATTTGTCTAAGGAAGGTCACCTTAATTCTTATAATTACACAACGTTAATTATTTATTGTGTTTTATTGTATTATCAGTCTAACAACGCAGCTCGACACGTCTTTCGGATCCTCCCGATCCACTAACGGTGCTTTTAGGTACCTCAATCATCAGTCATCGTTCTCGTCGAACCCGACGCTTGCGACGAAGAGCTCGACGAGTAAATTAACCCACAGACACAGCGCACTGAGTTTCTCGCCGGATCTTCTCAGTGGGTCGCGTTTCCGATCCGATAGTAGATTCTGCGAAGCACGGCTCCTGCTAGGGTTTATGTTAGCAACATCATCAGGCTTGAGCCCCGCGAGCTCATCTACTAGTTAAGGTTACGCTGATATGGTCTGTCTAGACCATCAGCTTAGGTAGGAAAAAAAATCGCGAAGACATAAACAATGTGACGTGATTTGTCAAAATCTATCAATATTTCTCACGAACGAGAATGAAATGCTTCGAATAATAAAGTAAATTTTCAATTTCACAATACAATAGACACTGTCTGTTTATACGTGGACTAGCTTTTGCCCGCGACTTCGTCCGCGTGGAATAGTTACTTTGGCATAACGCAAAATTTTACCCGCCTCTTCATTTACGTTCTACGTATAATAGAGAAAATATTTTTGAATAATATAATGTTAAGGAGTTATTTAAGGTAGCAAAATCACGCTTTTTAACCGACTTCAAAAGAGGAAGTTATCAATTCGACCATAATTTTTTATCTATGTATGTTCACCGAATTCTAGAGAATGCTTGAACCGATAGGGTAGGGTAGACTTCCCGAATGGTCCTGTTTACATCAAAATCTGATGATGGGATCTTGAAAAAATAAGAGAAAATAAAAACACCTTCACAAAAAACGCTTTATTTTGGAAGAAATTTGTTTAACATAAAAAACATTATAGTGAGCCAACCTTAACTTATAGACATATGCTGTCGCGAAGTTTTTTAGATCTTTTAAAGGGGAACAATTCTCTCATACATTACTTTAGCGAAACTTTAACCGTTTCCGCAGCGCACGCAGCGGAAGATCTCAAAAGAGATTAAAACCCTGATTTTGAAACATTCTTTATTGGTGCGTTTGCATTGGTCTTAGCGTGATGTTATAAAACCTATAGCCTTCCTCCATAAATGGGCTATCTGACACTGAAAGAACTTTTCAAATCGGTCTAGTAGTTCCTGAGATTAGCACATTCAAACAAACAAACTCTTCAGCTTTTTAAAATTAAGTATAAGTAGATACGTAAGTATAGATAAGTACGCTCCTGTGGTATGATACAAATATGGTTAATTTAAGTTGCTTTTTTGATGCGTACATGGGCAAACAAACAAACTCATATCCTCCCCGCTCATAAGCATCAGCTGAGCTACTGAGGGCACTGAATTGGCTACAGCTTAAAGCTGTGACAAACTTCGATTGAAGAAGACATGTCATGACACACAGGAAACACTGTGGAAGGGAATACGTCCTTAATCGTTTGTCTCTTGACAGAGTAGTATAATCCTCACAATGCCCCCTATCTCTTAATTGTAAGCTTCGCTTCCATTAGCCAGGAAATAAATACACAGATTTCAATAGTCCACTTGATTCTGCATTGTTTTATTTGCAACTTAGAAGATTAGATGAATGGACGCGCTCACAACCCACCTGATGTTAAGTGATCACCGGAGCTCATAG